ATCAGTGCTTCTTTAAAGACAGAAGAGGGAGAGTTGCAGATTAAAGATGTTGGAGAGACAGGGAAGAGGAGCAGAGTCCTTAGCCTTGAAGGAGTCTTGTGGCCCTTTTCTTCTGAACTAGAAAGAAGGACAGGGTCAAGTAAGCTGCACTCTAATTTGTAACTTCTGAGACGTAACAAGAAGAAAAGTGAATTTTCTCATCTTTAGGAAATGAGGTATACAATTGTTGGATGGTACAGGTTCCTGAATTATCCAGACAAGTTTTACTACCTATTCCTGGCAATCTGAAGATTTTAGACCTGCACTACCCAATACAGCAGCCACTAGCTACATGTGGCTGTTGAGCATTTGAAATGTGGCTGGTTCAAACTGAGATATATTGTAAGTATAAAATACCAGATTTATTAAACTTAAGTATGAAAGAACACTGTAAAATACCTCAGCTTTTTAAAATATTGATTACATGCACCCAGCAATTGCACTACTAGGCATTTATCCAAGGGATACAGGTGTGCTGTTTCGAAAGGACACATGCACCCCCCTGTTTATAACAGCACTACCAACAATAGCCAAAGTATGGAAAGACCCCAAATGTCCATCAGTGGATGAATGGATAAAGATGTGGTATATATATGCAATGGAGTATTACTCAGCAATCAAAAAGAATGAAATCTTGCCATTTGTAACCACGTGGATGGAACTGGAGGGTATTATGCTAAGTGAAATTAGAGAAAGACAAAAATCATTTGACTTCACTCACATGAGGACTTCAAGAGACAAAATAGATGAACATAAGGGAAGGGAAACAAAATAATATAAAAACAGGGAGGGGGACAAAACAAAACACTCATAAATATGGAGAACAAACAGGGTTGCTGGAGGGGTTGTGGGAGGGGGGATGGGCTAAATGGGTAAGGGGCATTAAGGAATCTACTGAAATCATTGCTTCACTATATACTAATTTGGATGCAAATTTTAAAAAATAAAAAATTAAAAAAAGGCTAATTTATAAAAAATAAAATAAAATATTGATTACACACTGAAACGATAATACTTTGGACATACTAAATAAACTATGTGCTTACAATTAATTTCACCTATTTCTTTTGGCTTTTTTTAATGTAGCTATTGGAAAATTTTACATTATTTGGCTCAAATTATATTTCTGTTGTACAGCGCTATTTTAGACAGAAATTTAGACTAGTGATCCATGATAGGACGCCATTCTACTAGTCGAACCAGGAAGTCAGTTTCATCAGGCCATTTCACCGGTACCGACGCTCCAACATTCTGGATTATTACTGTTTTCTTAAATCTTTTTTTGAGAGAGAGACAGAGTGAGGGCAGGGGAGGAACAGAGAGAGAGGGAGACGCAGAATCCGAAGCAGGCTCCAGACTCTGGTCTCTCAGCACAGAGCCCGACGCGGGGCTCAAACCCTCGAACCCTGAGATCATGATCTGATCCGAAGTCGAACGCTTAACCGACTAAACCACCCGGGCGCCGCAACACGCTGGATTAGTAACCTCATTTCCACAGTCCCCAACTCCAACCCAGTTGGACTACAAGGGCCAGCGTGCACTGCGCGCCTTTAGGGGCGGAACCTGAAGGACCGGCCTCTTTGTGACATCACGTCCGCTACGCCGCGCTGTTCTCCTTCTTTCCCAGGGCGCGCAGCTTGGAGGCGGGAGGGGAGTATCTGGGAGGTGAAGAGGTAGCGGGGTAGAGGGCGCGCGAATGTGGGAGGCCCCAACCCTGCTGGGTGAGCTGCCCTCGGTCTAACTTCCCCAGCCCATATTTGTCCGAACCGGTTGTGAGGATCGTGTCTCCCGCGTGGAAAGGGCGGCTGGCTTCCCGGAAGTGCCGGTGTCCGCTGCGGGTGGGCGCGGGGTGTGTGACCTCACGGCAGCGTCCACAGCACCCGACGAGGCAGGCGCGCGCCGGGGCTCTGCTTCTCAGGCTCAGAGCCTCTCCCGTAACTTGCACAATGGGTGCCAATCTATTCTAGAGCTGACCGAGGTGGGGCCGCGGCCGAGAGTATTGAGGAGGGGGGCCTAAGGCGAAAACCTTTTCTCCCCTGGCAGCCGACTTGCTTTAACTTTTCTTTGAAAAGGAGAATTCTTAACGCTCCTTGCACCTGTTGTAATGTGCGATCTTGTGGGCAAAGAAATGCCTGTTTAACTGAGCTATTGTTTCCTATGAAGTTACTCAAGATATAGGAGAATGTATTTGAATTTTAGGGGACCAAGTTTAACAAAACATTCATTTCAACTACTGTGCACGCTCATCCATACAACCTCGCGAATGAGATGATGCTACAGTTCTGGGCTGCTTCATCTTAAGGAGTTGATGTTACTTCTGGCAAGTTCTGTCTTCCCTGGCTATTATAGTTGGTGGTATGTGCCTCTGGTTTAATTTCAGGTTGATGCCTTGTGATGCCCGTCCCTCCCCACCTTCCCACCTCCCTGAAATGAGAGGGGAAAAGCCCTTTAGAAATGGAGGATTCTAGGATCTCCCATGCTTTTGCTTTGGGACATACATGACATGCTGGATCTCTGACTTAAAAGTTACAATTTAGGTCAGTCCCTGCCAGATGATTGTTTTAAATCACTGTGTCTGATTTACCATGGCTTTTTATTGCAGCAGCAGGCCTCCACATTTAATAGATAAATAAGCATATTAAAAATTTTTAAGAGTTTTTTGGGGCAAAAATCAGTTCCAGTTAGCACCAAACCAAAAATGGTTAGGAGGACTCTGCAGATCAGAACCAGAAGAGAGACGTAATAAAATGCAGCAAGAAAGGAAAGTGTTTGGCCATATTTTGAAGCCTAGGAGGCTGTTTGTGATTGGTTTTCTTTAGCATTTTGCTTTTGTAACCTAGAAGCGTGAGCAGGCTTAGACCATGGTTTGCTAACACAGGCCACCACAGCTTTAAAGCTGCATCAATCTAGTAGCCTCCTTGTTTAATTAATTTGACCCAATGCAGGGGGCTCATAATTTTCAGAAGTTGCATGCATTGGAACTCAAATAAGCCTTTTTTTTTTTTTTAATGCTTAACTATATCCGTCACCATATGATCTCATTTTCTACTAAGAAGCTTTTCATACATTTGAGTCTAAATGGGATCATTGAATGAGCACGGAGTCAAGAGTAAAAGAATATTTTATAGCAAAGTGGTCTCTCAAATCTGACCTGCTTAATGATTTTTATGCATAGCTTTATATTGCTATTACAGCCCCTCTGCTCCCCAAGGAGCTTAGGACAAATCATTTAGGAACATGAAATGTTCCTTTTTGGAATATTAATCACAGTTGACATTAGTTATGCTTAATATTGTAGCAATTGCTTTTTTAATATTTTTTTAAATATTTATTTATTATTGAGAGAGAGACAGACAGAATGAATCGGGGAGAGGCAGAGAGAGAGGGAGACACAGAATCCAAAGCAGTCTCCAGGCTCTGAGCCGTCAGCACAGAGCCCGACGTGGGGCTTGAACTCACAAACCACAAGATCATGACCTGAGCCAAAGTTTGACGCTTAACCAACTGAGCCACCCAGGTGCCCCAGCAATTGGTTTTTATAAATATTAATCCTCAGAATAAGCCATAGATCAAATACTACTGTTATCCCTATTTTAACAGATAAACAGAGGATAAGTCATCTACCCAGTATCACACAATTGGTAGCAAAGCGAGGATTGGAACCCAGATAGGGTAACTCGAAAGTCCACACTGTAACACATACTCCTGCAGAGAGAACACTTGACTGGTGAGAAAGCTCTGCGCTTTGTCACTTCTCCCCTCTGTCTCATAAAACATTACAGGAGAAATTTAAGAGTTGTTTTCTTGATGGCATCAGTGGAGTCTTACCAGAGGGAAGTAGAGTCATTCTGCTGGGAGGTGGGGAGAAGGCAGAGAAAAGAAAAATAAAATGTCTGAGAAAGAAGGTGGAAAAGAGCATCTGCCCAGAAAGATAAACCTTGTATGATTAGAGTCTGCCCAAAGCCGGCTAAGGTCTGTAATAGTTTACATGCAAATGAAATACTTTACTTTCCAAATGAAAGTTGGAGTAGTGGGGAATACTTCCCTCTCATGTGCTTTTATTTTGAGTAGTAGGTTCAGGTTCATAGATTCATGTCAGATATCCAACAACAACAACAAAAAAAAACAGCTTTAAGAAAGAGGGTGTCTTCTGGGGCTGATGGGATTTGGGACTTCTTTGATCTCCTTAAAAATGAAAAGCGGGGGGCGCCTGGGTGGCGCAGTCGGTTAAGCGTCCGACTTCAGCCAGGTCACAATCTCGCGGTCCGTGAGTTCGAGCCCCGCATCAGGCTCTGGGCTGATGGCTCGGAGCCTGGAGCCTGTTTCCGATTCTGTGTCTCCCTCTCTCTCTGCCCCTCCCCCGTTCATGCTCTGTCTCTCTCTGTCCCAAAAATAAATAAACGTTGAAAAAAAAAAAATGAAAAGGGGAGGGGTGCCTGGGAGGCTCAGTTGGTTAAGTGCTCGACTCTTGACTTTGGCTCAGGTTATGAGCTCACGCTTGCTGTGTTCAAGCACCCTGTCGGGCTCTGCACTGGCAGTGCGGAGCCTGCCTGGGGTTCTCTCTCTCCTTCTCCGTCTGCCCCTCCTACCCTGGTGCGCACGCGCTCTCTCTCTCTCTCTCAATAAAGAAACAAAAAAAAAATGCAAAGGGAACAGGGAAGTAGCAGAACGTGACCCATAGAGTTCCAGGCACAGAAACCTCAGCATGAATGCGGGCGGGCCACCCCGAAAGCCTCCTGAAGCACCCAAGCACGTTGTAGCACCTCGCATTGGTTCTCCTTTCTGACTTCTGATGGTTGTGGTTCTTGATTAGGCTCAGCGCTAACTCAGACCATGTGGACCGCTGATGAGATTGCATGGCTGTGTTACGAGCACTACCAGACCAGGCTGCCCAAGCAGGGGAAGCCTGCGCCCAACCGTGAGTGGACGTTGCTAGCAGCCGTGGTGAAGATACAGCCTGCCACCGACCAGGCCTGTGGCGGCGCTAACAAACCGGTGCAAGGTGAGACCTTTCCACCTCCAAACGCTCCCTCTCCCTGTCAAAGATGGTAGAATTGTTCCTGGCCGTGCCCTGGCTGGGGGCAGATGCAGTGGTGGGAATGTTCTCCTGCTCTCCACCAGGTGCCGCAGTCCTTCCGGTGGTGGGAGTTGGCCATGCCAGAACCACAACCACAGCCCCCGGTTGGGTCAGCCTGTAAGAATGTTCTGGAGGAGTCTGCAGATGTGAAACCTGAGGAGGGGGACCATTCACATTATGAGAGCTCGCTTAATGATTCATTCTTTTCCTCTCAGTGACAAAGGAAGTTGTCTCAATGGGAACGGGGACGAAATGCATAGGCCAGTCCAAAATGAGGAAGAGCGGTAAGCCCAGGTGGGGTCTGGAAACCACTGTCCATGTTGTCCTTTCCTCTTCTCAGCAAAGGGGCCGTATGGCTGAGGTGGCCAACCTTAATGTTCCCGCTGACTGTCACTCCAGATGGAAGGACAGAACTCATTTTTTTTTAAGTTTACTTATTTTGAGAGAGAGAAAAAGCATACGCATGAGTTGGGGAGGAGCAGAGAAAGAAAGAGAGTATCCCAAGCAGGCTCCACACTGTCCGCACAGAGCCCGATGCAGGGCTCACGAACCATGAGGTCATGACCTAAGCCAAAATCACGAGACAGCTGCTTAACTGGCTGAGCCACCGAGGCACCCCATAGAATTCATTTAAAGAATGGAAATAAACTGTGAAAGCAAAGGCCTCCGGGAACATACTTTCTGAGTAGATTGAAAGTTGGCCAATATGTTCATGCTCAAACCAGAAGTCCCCCGGACTTAGCCACCGCACATTTTATCTGAAGCCTCCAAAAGCAATCAAATGGAGATTTGGGCACCAGCAAGAATATGGAAATCCCTTAGAGATCTGGCATCTTCACCTTCTGCTTCCAGTTAGCAGATTCCTTCTCAAGTTTGCTTTCCTCATTTTCCCCGCCTTGCCTCCCGGTTCCAGGACCATTATGGATTGAATTTGTTGAGGTTATATCACCATAAGAGGAAGTGTGATACCAGAGTACAAAAGACTTGGACCCCTGTCCTCCAGATATTTTCCTATAAATCAGTAGTTCTTGGCTATGGGGAGATTTTGCCCCCCAGGGGACATTTGGCAATGGTTGGAGATATTTTCGGTTGTTACAACTAGGGGGAGGGGGATATTGTGCTACCTGCCTCTGGTAGAGGCCAGGAATGCTGCTAAACATCTTACATATCCACAGGACAGACTGCCCCAACAAAGAATTTTTTAACCTAAAACGTACAGTAGCATTGAGTTGAGGAAACTCTGTATTGCCTTTAATCGTTGCAATACTTTCTGACAAAGTCCTCCAGGAGCTACGTGGCCATCCTGGCTGCTGGGGAAACCACTGTGTTCTACTTCTAGGAAACAGGGCCTCTCCATGTTCTATATGTCTTCACTAGTGTCCTGTCTTTGCCACAGGAGACATCCTCAATGATAGCCATGCTGAGGTCATAGCCAGGAGGAGTTTCCAAAGGTAAAGCCACATCCCCAGACAATCTGATTTAGCCTGCCTTGGGGGTCCCAGAATGTGCATTTCTAATAAGCTCTCCAGTAATACTGACCATGTCAGTCTGTGAACTACTCTTTGAATAGCACTGGTCTACACAGTGGTTCTCATGCCCGATGTGCATCAGAATTACCTAGGCTTGTGAAAACCCAGATCACTGGGCCCACCCCTAGAGATTCCGACTCAGCAGGTCCAGATTGCATTTCTAACAGATTCCAGATGATGCTGATCCTGCTGGTACAAGGGCCACACTTTGAGAATCACTGGTCTAGATCATTCTCGTAATTCCAGATTCCAGTGCCAGTCCCATTGGGCTGCAGTAGCTCTTTCTTTCTTAGAAAATCACCCAGCCAGTCTTTCCCTGTATCTCAGTGATCGGTTGTTCATTCTGATAACATCTTGCACCCCATTAGGTACCTTCTGCATCAGCTCCACTTGGCGGCCGCCCTGAAGGAGAATAGCATTTTTGTCCCTGGAACTCAGAGAGGGCTGTGGAAACTCAGACAAGGCATCTTGTTTGTGTTTTTCTCCAGCCATACACCCTGTAAGTATATTCAAGCCTTTGGATTGATGTTATGTTGTCTTTTTCCTTGTGTTTGTCTTATCCATAGATGCATTTCCCAAAAAAGCTCTTCTGGCTTAAGTGTAGCTACAGCCAGTGGACAGTGCCTTTTTCTGAACAGGCCATTGTGCCTAATCACTTCTCTACCAAGGAAAGGCTCAGCTCTCAGTTCTCAGCTCCCAACAGGATTGTGAAGCTTAAACCTCCTCGAGGTCTGAACCCAACAATAGGGCTTAGAAGCCCAAAGCCTTGAGTTCTATAGAGATTTATGCTGAAACTCATTCTATTCATTCATTCATTCATGCAACAGATATTTTCTGCTACTTGTCAAGTACACTATGATATACTAGATGTATAGCAGGGAATAAGATTAGCCCCTGGCTTAGCCTCATAGAGTCTTTTAGGGAATGTAGACAGTCATGATTAGTTAAGTTAAATTTTGATGAGTTATAAGGGGATGTTCAGGTGCTGTGGTTGTATTAGGCAGGAAAACCAGGCATAGCCTAGGGGTGGCCACTCTTTTTTTGTCTTGAAAATAATTTCTACCCTTTGTAGATAGCAATTCAGGGATGGCAGTAAAATTTCCTTACCCTAAATCCTTTGAAATAAGAGCAGACTATTGTTCTCTGAGTATTAAACTTTAAAACTAATACATGCATTTTGATCAGATACAGGCACTCATTCTAAAGAGCATAGCTGCCAAGATTTGGTCATAATTCAAATCAAAAATGTGATATAGCTTAAGAAAGAATGAGTCTATCAGAAAATAATTGGTTGAGTCAAAGGCCAGAAAAACGACATGCAGAGTGAGGTAGGCAGGGCTCATCCATGCTTAGTTATTAGCAGCAGAAGCCAAAGAACCAAAGGATGTCCAAGAACCAAAGGATGTTTCCTAACTCAGTGCTTCTCAAACAACAATATGCATATGAACCACCCGCAGGTCTTAATAAAATGTGGATTGAAATTCATTAGGTCTGGGATGAAGTCTGAGATTCTGCATTTTTAACCAAGTCCCCACAATGCCAGTGGTGTTGGCCTGTGGACCACACTTTGAGTAGCCAGGGCTTGGCTGATCCCGATGGCAGGCGTAGCCTTATTGTGGAGAGAGAAGCATCTGCAGGTCATGGCTATCCAGACCACATAAATCCGTGGTCCACAGGCTGGTCCATAGCCAGATGGGAAAAATCAGGACTATAATGAGTTTTTCAAAAAAGCTAATTCTTTTCCATGTGAAGGTTATAAGATTTTTCTTTTATTTTTAATCATAGTAATTAGGATTTTTAAAGATCTTACTTGATGGAATACAAAGTAATCTATTGATCTTAAAATCTACTGGAAATTTTACTGGTCTGTGAAATCAAAATCTAGAACCACTGTTCTAACTGTCCTGGGCTCATGGGTAATCTTTTAAAATGTGATGTCCACCCATGCATGGTTTGTCTGAAGGAGGAAAGAACACTACCTGGAGAATTTGACTATCTGGCTCCCTTGGCATTTATTCCTCATTGCTAATTGATAATTTGGTGCCTGGGTTAGCTACTTCCGGCCCTTACTTGTGAGTTTGATTAGCATGAGTCAGCCTCTGGAGCTTTCTGAGTGGGAGGTGGGCCCCAGTCAATTCTCCAAAGTCACTGTCACCTTGTGAGACCTCTGGAAGCCTGCCAGCCAGCCTTTCTGGCAACACGCCCACATCTACCCCTTTTGCCTTTCCCACTCTGAGGTTATAAAGACTACAAATGTATTATTTACATGCTTTAAAAAAGCAACACACATTAGGTTAGTGTTTGAAAAAGTAGCTCCTTTTTCACAGGGAAGCTGTGCTTTTTACTAACCTCTGGTTTTCTTTGATTCTGTTTAAGCATAGAGTTAGGTGAGAAATCTCTAACCGACTGCAGGGAAATGCCAGCTATATAATTCACTGCAGAGTCTTTACTGTGAGGACATACACAAAGATCTCCGAGATGGGGAAACTAAACATTTTTGCCAAACGTGTTTAACCATGAAATCAACCTCCCACTTTGCTTTTCCATCTCATGGGATAACATCCCACAAAATGTGCTGGGAAAACTGTGCTCTTTGGGAACCAAGGTTCTTAACTCAGGACGGCTTTGCTCCTCAGGGGACAGTTTGCAACATCTGGAGTCATTTTTGATGGTCAGGCTGGGAGGTGCTATTGGTAGCTAGTAGTAGGTGGAGACCAAGGAGCTGCCAAACATGTAATGGAAAGGAGAGCCCCCACAGCAAAGAATTTTCTGGCCCAAATGTCAGTAGTATGGAAGTTGACAAATCGTGATCTAAACTAGTGTTTTCAGAACTTCCTGGGATGAGAATTACTTGAGATCTTTGTTTAAAGTATTCAGTTTTCCAGATCCTCCCACCCCAGCATTTCTAACTCACTCTGGTCTAGATAAGATAGAGTCGCAGAGGATTCTTACTCAGGAAGTTTGGACAAGTCTTCCTAATACATCTCAGCACAGCTGGAAAATAGGATTAAACTCCATTTAAGACAATGGTTCTTCGTAGGGCTCCTGGGTCGCTCAGTCTTAGGTTAAGCTTCCAACTCTTGATTGCAGCTCAGGTCATGATTCCAGGGTGATGGGATCGAACCCCTCATTGGGCTCTGGGCTGAGTGTGGAGCCTGCTTAAGGTTCTCTCTCTGTCTCCCTCTGCCCATCTCCCCTGTTCTCTCTCTTTAAAAAAATAAAAAAATAAAAATGAAAAAGACAGTGGTTCTTAAAGTTGAGCCTGCATCAAAATGACCCGGAGAACTTGTTGAAACACACATTGCTGGGTACCACCTCCAGAGTTTCCAATTCAGCAGGTCCACTGTGGGTCCCAAGAATCTACAGCTCTCACAAGTTCCTAAGGGATGTTGATGTGGCTGGTCTGGGGGCCTCACTTTGAGAACCACTGGTTTTTAAGGGGTTCCTTCTCCTGCAGGTGGGGATGCCTCCATCATTCCAATGCTTGAGTTTGAAGATCAGCCCTGCTGTCCCGTCAGTAGACGTTGGACCAATAAGCCATCAGAAGAAGCCAGTGGTAACCCAGAAACTCCTGAAGATGAAAAGAAATATGAAGACCTGGGTAGTCCTGTGACCAAAAAGATGAGGCTTGAACCTGGGATTCCTGATGGTGTGGCTCACTGTCAGAGTTTGGACAATCAGGAAAGTGGTCCAGTCCCACCAACTGTCAGCAGCTCTAATGTCCCCACACAGGAACTGGCCACTGTCACCGGAAGGGCCCCCAGTGGTGCCAAAGTGGTGGACGTTTATAGAACTGGAGCCAAATGTGTGCCTGGAGAAGCTGGAGACTCGGGAAAGCCTGGTGCAGCATATCACCAGGTGGGCCTGCTCCGGGTGAAGCCAGGCCGGGGAGACAGGACCCGCTCCATGTCCTGCAGTGACAAGTTGGCACGGTGGAATGTCCTCGGATGCCAGGGGGCACTGCTGATGCACCTTCTAGAAGAGCCTGTCTACCTGTCAGCCGTGGTCATTGGGAGGTGCCCGTACAGCCAGGAGGCCATGCGGAGAGCTCTGACTGGGAGGTGAGAGGGCAGGGAGGGGAGGGCTCAAGTGGAACAGTCTTCCTCAGAAGCAGTCTGAGAATATGTCCAGAGAGCCTGAAGGACATCCATATGGGGGCGCCTGGGTGACTCAGTCAGTTGAACATCCCACTCTTGATTTCAGCTTAGGTCATGATCTCACGGTTCTTGGGATTGGACCCCATGTCGGACTCTGCACTGACAGCATGGAGCCTTCTTGGGATTCTTTGTCCCTCTCTCTGCCCTTCCCCACTCACACATGCATGTTTTCTCTTTCAAAATAAATAAATAAAAACTTTAGAAGAAATCCATGCATTTTGTTCCAGTGGTTCCATTGCTAGGAATTTGTCCTAAGGAGATAATTAAGAAAGTGCTCAAACATTTAGCTTTGTGTGTAGTCTTTTTTTTTTTTTTAAGCCAGATCCACACGCAACACGGAGCCCCAACGTGGGCTTGAACTCAACCCTGAGATCAAGACCTGAGCTGAGATCAAGAGTCGGACACTTAACCAACTAAGGCATCCAGGCACCCATGTAGTCATTTTTAAAAAAGAAAAGGAAATGGCCAGCAAGAGATTTTTGTTAAAACTAATATTGATGAAAATTTGACTTGGAAATGTTCATGATGTTCAAAGAGCAAGTCAAAAGATACAATAAGTTCATTTTGGTCTTTATGTATTTATTTTTTTTTCTTCTTTTCTTTTTTTCTTTTTTCAACGTTTTTTTTTTTTTATTTATTTTTGGGACAGAGAAAGACAGAGCATGAACGGGGGAGGGGCAGAGAGAGAGGGAGACACAAAATCGGAAACAGGCTCCAGGCTCCGAGCCATCAGCCCAGAGCCCGATGCGGGGCTCGAACTCACGGACCGCGAGATCGTGACCTGGCTGAAGTCGGACGCTTAACCGACTGCGCCACCCAGGCGCCCCATTATGTATTTATTTTAAAAGAGAGAGCACGTGTGAGCAGGGGAGGGGCAGAGAGAGAAAGAGAATCCCAAGTAGGCTCCACACTGTCAGCACAGAGCCCTACTCAGGGCTCAGACCCACAAACTGTGAGATCATGACCTGAGCCAAAATCAAGAGTTGGACGCTTAACCAACTGAGCTACCCAGGTGCCCCTGGTCTTAAAGTATATGTGCACATAGAAAAAAAACTGTCAAAGAATATATACCAAATTATTAGAATGATTACCTCTGAGTTGTGATATTATGGGTGTTTTTTTCTTCTTTGCAATTACTCTTGTCTTCTAATTTTCCTGCAGTACCTATATATATATATAGTTAAAATTTTTAAAAACGATCAACATCAGTGTTAATTTTTTAAAAGATAAAAGACAAAGCTTCATCACTGAAGTGTGGTCTCCCTAAAGAAGGGCAGCCAGACCCAATTAAGGCTGTGGTAACTGAGGGCAGGATGAGGCCATGGCTGGAGGGGAAGCCTGTCGTGTCAGATGTGCTGCTCCCCCGAGGCTCAGTCCAGGGAGCAGCTGCAGGGTGTGACCCACTAATTCCACTCCTGGGTACGTACCCAGGAGAAATGAAAACATACATCCACATAAGAACTTGTACACGAATGTTCATAGCAAGGTAGGTCACAGTAGCCAAAACCTGAAACAGCCCAAGTGTGCGTCAGCTGGATAAACAAAAGGGGGTGGGTTGTTATGGTGGAATATTAGCCCCCAAAAGGAGTGAAGGCCAGATACAAGCTGCGACACTGATGAGCCTTGAAAACTTTATGCCGAGTGAGAGGAGCCACGTAGTGTATGATTTTATGTAGAGAAATGTCCTAAACGGGCAAATCTAGAAGGGGATTCGTGGGTGCCAAGGGCTGGAGAAGGGTGTGCGGAGTGACTGCTAACAGGTACAGGGTTTCTTACTGAAGGGATGAAACTGTAAACTTAGACTGTGGTGACATTGGCACAATTCTGTGAATATCCAAAAACAAAATGTATTTTACACTTTAAGTGGATGAATTTTATGGTATATAAATTATATCCCAATAAGATGTTGGGTGTTTTTTTAATTTTATTTTGTTTTACAGAGAGCATGTGCGAGCCAGGAGAGGGGCAGAGGGAGAGAATCTGAAGCAGGTTCCATGCTCAGCCCAGAGCCCAGTGCAGGGCTCAGTCCCACGACCCTGGGATCATGACCTGAGCCGAAATCAAGAGTAAGACACCCAACTGACTGAGCCACCCAGGTGCCCCCCAGTAAGATGTTTTTTAAAAAATAAAGCAACCCAGGGGTGCCTCAGTGGCCCAGTCGGTTAGGCATCGGACTCTTGATTTCTGCTCAGGTCATGATCTCACAGTTCATGAGTTCAAGCCCCACATCGGGCTCTGCACTGACAGCATGGAGTCTGCTTGGGATTCTCTCCCTCCGTCTCTCTGCCCCTCCCCCCACTCATGTTCACGTGCGTGTGCACCCTCTCTCTCTCAAATATATAAACTTTAAAAAGGCAACTCTAGGCACTGTGTGCAAGATATTTTCTGAGTTTCCTGTGCTTTCCCCATTCTGAGACCTTAAAGTTGCTGTCTCCTCAGTTCCAGAGCAGCACCACGTTGGCCTGTAGATTGTGTGAAAGATACAAAAGGAAAAAATGAAACTTTTATATTATAGTATGGTTTGCGTTTCTGGTGTGTGTGAAGGATTCCCTAGGAAACAGATGCCACAAGTTAATATTTCTGTTTAAGGTTTTCACATCTTTCAAAGCCAGTACCAGGAGTGGAGTTTGGAGTCACGAAAGTCACTGAGGGGTGGTGACTCAGTTCATCGTTTTCACTTCAGAGTGATGGGAAGGGATCTCCCTTCAGCCATGAGGTTCATATGATCTAGATTCTGTTCTGTTATGCCCTCTCGCCGAGACTCAGGGGTGAAGTGGTCCACAGTCCTCCATATTCTCTTCCTCGAACAGAGGGCCTAAACCAAATGCATTTTCCCTCACATTAGGTGTCAGAACGTCTCAGCTCTACCCAAAGGCTTTGGAGTTCAAGAAGTGACAATACAGCAGTCCGGTTTACTGTTTGAACAGAGCCGCGGCGCAGTGCAGGCAAAAAGGGCTGACAGCCCAGGCCGACTTGTTCCTTGTGGCGCAGGTAAGATATCCTGGTTCCCCTTGCCCTGGAGTGACTTTTCCCCAGACCGTTGGGTGGCCTGGGAGGCACTGCGTCCACCCAGCCTGGGAAGGCAGTTTATTACCTCAGTGGTCAATAGTGTGGGCTTGGGGGGTGCCTGGGTGGCTCGGTTGAGTGACCGACTTCGGCTCAGGTCATGATCTCACGGTTTGTGGGTTCGAGCTCTGCGTTGGGCTCTGTGCTGACAGCCCGTAGCCTGGAGCCTGCTTCGGATTCTGTGTCTCCCTCTCTCTCTGCCCTTCCTCTGCTCGTAGCTTGTACACTCGCTTGTATTGTCTCTCTCAAAAATGAATAAACATTGAAAAAATTTTAAAAAAAAGTAGCGTGGGCTTGGGAAACACCCACCCTAGGTCAGGTTCATGCTCTCCGTGACTCTGGGCAACTTACTTATCCTGTCTTAGCCTCAAGTTCTTCATTTTTAGGTAAGAATATCATTTCGTAAAGAATCCAATTTTAAAAAATGGCCAGAAGACATGAATAGACATTTCTCCAAAGAGGGCATCCAGACGGCCAACAGACATGTGCAAAGATGCTCAACATCATTAATCATTAGGGAAATGCTAATCAAAACTACAGTGAGCTATCACCTCAGGCCTGTCAGAATGGCTAAAATCAACAACACAAGAAACAGGTGTTGGCAAGGATGTGGAGAAAAAGAAACCTCCTTGCACTGTTGTTAGTAGGAAAGCAAACTGGTGCAGCCATTGTGAAACACAGTGTGGAGGTTCCTCAAAAAATTAAAAATAGGGGCACCTGGGTGGCTCATTCAGTTAAGCATGCGACTTCAGCTAGGGTCGTGATCTCACAGTTGGTGAAATCAAGCCCCACATCGGGCTCTCTGCTGTCAGTGCAGAACCCACTTTGGATCCTCTCTCTCTCTGCCTCTCTCTCTCTCTCTCTCTCAAAAATAAATAAACAGGGGCGCCTGGGTGGTGCAGTCGGTTAAGTGTCCGACTTCAGCCAGGTCACGATCTCATGGTCCGTGAGTTCGAGCCCCGCGTCAGGCTCTGGGCTGATGGCTCAGAGCCTGGAGTCTGTTTCCGATTCTGTGTCTCCCTCTCTCTCTGCCCCTCCCCCGTTCATGCTCTGTCTCTCTCTGTCCCAAAAATAAATCAACGTTGAAAATAAATAAATAAATAAATAAATAAACAAACATTTAAAAAAAAGATTAAAAAAATTAAAAATAAAACTACCCTATGATCCAGTAATCATACTACTGGGTATTTACCCAAAAAGTACAAAAGCACTAATTCAAAGGGATACATGCACTCCTGTGTTTACAGTAGCCAAATTATGGAAACAGCCCAGGTGTCCACTGGCAGATGAATGGATAAAGAAGAGGTAGTGTATATACACAATGAATATTAGTCATAAAAGAAAATGAAATCTTGCCATTTGCAACAGCATGGATGGAGCTAGAGAGTATTATGCTAAGTGAAATAAGTCAGAGAAAGACAAATACCATATGATCTCACTCATGGAGTAAGTGGAAGTAAGAAACAAATGACAAAGGCGAAAAAAATGGAGACAAACCAAGGAATGACTCTTAACTATAGAGAACAAACTGATGGTTACCAGAGGGTAGAATGAGGGAGGATGGGGAAAATAGGTGATGGGGATTAAGGAGTGGAAGAAAAGTCTATCATTCTTTATTAGGGCTGTTATGAGGATTAAATGAGAAACTCTATTTCATTCAATTACCTTGTGTCCAGCATATGATAAATGCTTAATGGTTATTAGATTTGATGATGATGATGATGATGATGATGATGGTGATGAATCACAAACCACTTTATATTACCATATTCTGGAGGCCATCCATCAGAGTGGCAACCATTGACTCTGATGTCATGTCCAACTCTCCTGAGTCTGCAGACGCAGGGAAATATTTTTGTTAAAACACCTCTGATGTTCACAGGAAACTGAACGGTCTTAATTGCAGAATCTTGTCTTTTCATAGCCATCAGCTGGAGTGCAGTTCCTGAGCAGCCGCTGGATGTCACTGCCAATGGCTTTCCACAGGGAACAACACGGAAGGCAATCAGGTGCCTTCAGGCCAGGTACAGCATATTGGGGCAGAAGGAGATGGTGGCTGTGCAGTCCTGTGTTACCACTCTCTAGTTCCAGAACGTTTTCATCTCCCCAAAAAGAAACCCCGCACCCACTGGCTGTAATTCCCCATGGCCTTCTCCAGCCCCATGAATCTCCTTTATGTCTGTGGATTTGTCTGTTCTGGACTTCCCACTACATGAAATCATACAGTATGTGACTTAACTTACTTAGCCTAAGTTTTCAAGGCTCATCCATGTTGTAACATGTATCAGTCCTTCATTCCTACATTCCATTGTCTGGATCTGACCACTTTTTGTTTCTCCACTCTTCTGTTAATGGATATTTGGGTTATTTCACTTTGGGGCTGTGGGAATAATGCTGCTGCGAACATTTATAGAATCTTTTAGGTGGACGTATGTTTTCAATTCTCTTGGGTATACCTTGGAATGGAATTGCTGGGTCATATGATAACCTCGGAGGTTTTTTTGTTTTTGCTTTTTTTGAGGAACTGCCAAACTGTTTTCCATAGTAGCTGCACTATTTTAAACTCCTACCAGCAATGTATGGGTTTCAATTATCCTACATCCTTTACAACACTCATTATTGTCTCGTTTTATTGTAGTCATTGTGGGTGTGAAGTGCTATATGATTGTAATTTGCTGTGCATTTCCCTAATAATTGTTTGAGCTTCTTTTGATGCTGAGCATCTTATCATATACTTATTAGCTCTTTGTATATCTTCTTTGGAAAAATACCTATTCTGATCCTTTGCCCATTTTTTAACTTGGTTTTATTTATCTTTTATTGTTGAGTTTTAAGGTTTCTTGATATATTCCGGGTACTAGTCCTTTATCACAGATGTATTTGAATGTATTTTTTGTCAATTCTGCGGGTTGTCTTTTCACTTTTTGAAGGTGTCCTTTAAAACGTGGAAGTTTTAAATTTTGATGAAGTCTGTTCAATCTGTTTTTTCGTGGGTGGTTTGTGCTTTTAGCATCACAGGTAAGAAACCATTGCCTGATTCAATATCACAAAGATTTGCTTTGTTTTCTTCTCATAGTTTTATAGTTTCAGCTCTTAGGTTGATGACTTTGATCCCTTTTGAGTTAATTTTTCTATAAGGTGTGAGGTAGGGGTCCAACCTCATTCTTTTGCATGGGGGTATCCAGTTGTCCTGCCACCATTTTTTTTTTTTTTTTTTTTTTTTGTGGAAAGACTGTTCTTTCCCCTGGAAAATGTTGAAAAGAACACTTTCTTGGGCTTTACCAGTAGGGATTCTGGTTTCATAGGTCAAGCTTGAAGGCCAAGAATCATTTATGAAGCTCCAGAGTGATTGGCCTGGCAGAAAGGCAACCATGAAAGCAGGACTTTTTGTCTTCATATTGGCTTCGACTGAAATGTACAACATGTAGTCTGCTAGACACGAGACTCCCTGTATGTTTCAAGGGTCATGCATCTGCCATACTGGTTTTTCTTCTTCTAAATGCTCAGCAGATCCTACTCTACTTTTCCCTCCCAGTGAGCCACTGGTAGTCTTCAGTAGCCTGTGGGTGGGACGGGCTGTAGGGAAATGTCCTCTCCACCAAAGGCATTTACATCTCAGATGGACTGAGCTGCCACTGAGTGACTCCTGTAGGATTTCTACCTTTTACAGGTATAGTTAACCCTTGAACTATAACCCTGGGGGGGTTATGGGTTCTGACCCCCCCCTTACAGTTGAAAATCCATTTATACCTTTTGATTGGTCAAAACCTTAACCGCCAATAGCTTGCTGTTGATTAGAAGCCTTACTGATAACATGAACACTTGATTAGCATGTATTTCATATGTCGTATGTATTACATACTGTATTCTTATCATAAAGCAAACCAGAAAAATGTTATTACAAAAGTCATAAGGAAAAGACATGTATAATACTGTATTTATTGAAAAAAATCCTTGTGTCACTGGACCCCGCACAGTTCAAACCCATGTTATTCAAGGGTCAACTGTAGTTCTTTTCACTCTTGAGTTGCTTTTCCATTTCTTTACTATGTCCTTAAAAAAAAATTTATAATTAAAGTTTACAGTTGGATTTGTTTCTTCTTTTTAATATGCTTATTTGCCAGTCTCAACACAGACAAAAATAACTTATATAGTTTTAGACCTTAAAAAAGAAGATTTTGTTCTCTGCAGCCACTCATCAGGGTCCAGATGTCCCAGTCTGCAGACCCAGACCCTTTCCTGTTAGCCCAGGCTGTTGAATTGAGTGATATTAACAAACTTGTTAGGGGTGGAGGTTTTGGGACCAGTTTTTCCCCCGAGGACCTCCTAGCTTCAGGCCACTGTTTGCATCTCCCAAGGGACCAGCTCTCAGCCACAGACCAGGGTGTGTGAGCAGAGCAGGTCCTGCCTTCACAGGGACCATGTTTCCTGCAGAGTTCCAGCTCTGCTCTAAGGCAGCGACAGGCCCGCAGCAGCTCCCCCGGCCCCACCCACCTGACGGTGGCTCCTGTTTGTGCTTCCTCAGGTCTAAATGCTCTTCTTCACTAGGAGTCCGCACCCTCTTTTACCTTGAAAGTTCAGCTCAACCACCACTGCCTTCTGGTTGCTGTAGGTCCAGAAGGTCCAGGTTCGCTGCCTCCTGGAACCTCTCTTCAAACTCCTGTAGTGCTATATTCTCTGGCTTATCCCGATATGTCAGTGCTTTCTGTTGATGAGGAGTACCTCATGTTTCCAAGCTCGCTCTGGCTCCAGTTACCCACATGACTTTGAACGAGTGCAGTTGCATTCCGGGCTTCCGTGTGTCCGTATCTGTAAGATGAGGATGTTGGAGTAGATGATCTGAGGTCCCTGACGCGTTGTAGGTGTCTCTCCATTTAGGAGGCAGACTCCTTGCAGGGAAGAAGTGTATGGGAGAAAGAGCAGGAGCTTTGCAGTCCAAGAGACTGATGTTTAATTCCTAGTTCCCTTTCTCTCCAGTGTGTGACACCTTGGGCAAATTACTTTACTTCTCTGAGCCTCCGTTTCCCCAACAGCAAAGCAAGGGTAACTAAGAGTATGTGTCACCCAGGAACGTGGTGAGAAGTGAAAGCGAATGTGGTGCAGGCTCGCAGCAAACACCTTGTTAAGGTTGGTTTCCCCTTCAGTTGCCCAGTGAAGCTTCATGTTATGTGCAGAAGAGTCAGCATTTCTTTTATTCTAAAGAGTTACAGCTGCTGGGGAGAGAGCAGGTTCTCTCACTGCTCATTCCCAAGCCCTGGCATCCTAGGACCACCTTCTTTACCACCGCGGGGCATATGAAAGCAGACGGATGTTAGAGACATTTAATATGCTAACACAATACGAGAAGAAAATACTTAAGTCTTTGTGTTCTTTTCCAAACAATGTGATGATAACAGACACCACGTAAAAGACCCTCATTTTCAAGAAGCTTCATTTTGCTCTTTTCCCTAACGTGGCAAATCCTCATTCCACCCCAGAGCATCCTGGAGAGATCATTTACGTGGCTCATTGGATTATAAAAGAAAAGCATGAGGGATTAAAAACAACAACAACAACCCTAAGTGTGCCTAAATATGTTAAAAGATAGGGCTAGATTAAGAACACCTACGTAAACCTGTGTCATCTTTAAGAAATTGTTTATGTATATATAATTTTCCTAGCTCTGTGATGCCCCAACCAGCAATGTCAACCAACTTACCAGGGAGAGCCTAATATCTAAGAACATAATTGTTGCTGCTGAAAGGAACCAGGGCTCCTTGGAGAGAAGTAGCCAGCAGCCAGGAGGATTGTTATGTTCCACAAATGACATGAGTGATTATTACTGAGTAGGTCTCATTGACAGAGGAATTACGAGTATGGCCACTCTGTTCTGCTGTTGATTAGGTCTTGAGAAAGGCCTTTCTTCTCTGGAGGGAGTTCTTGTTCAGCAGAGGAGTGGTTCCCAGCATCCCCCGTCTGTATAGATATAATACCTTAACATCACTCACAAGGCCATTCACTTAGGCCAGAAACATTCATAAGAGAAAGTGCTGTTTGTTCCTCCAGAAGGAAGAATGCTGGAAACATTTTCAGAGCTGGTCTCAAGAAGCTGTGAAAGCAATGCCCTTGTCTTTTTTTTTTTTTTTTTTAACATTTATTCATTTTTGAAAGGCAGAGAGAGACAGAACGCGAATGGGGGAGGGACAGAGAGAGAGGAAGACACAGAATCCGAAGCAGGCTCCAGGCTCTGAGCTGTCAGCACAGAGCCCGATGCAGGGCTCGAACTCACGGACCGCGAGATCATGACCTGAGCCGGAGTCGGCTACCTAACCTACTGAGCCACTCAGGCACTTCGATGCCCTTGTCTTATTCTTGATTTTAAGGACATGAATTTGCTATAGGTTTTTAATGATGCCCTTTATGAATGTAAATGCTGTCTTTCCTAGTCCTCGTTTGCTAAAAGATTTTAAATCATTCTGTGGCTGTTGAATTCTCACAAGTGCTTCTCTGCACATTTTTTCCTCATAATGACATTACATTTCTCTTTTAATCTGTTAATGAGATAAGTTTCATTAGTTTCTTGGCTTTGGGTTTTCTTTTTACCATTAAAGGAACCTTACATTCCTAAGCGCCGGCAGCCACTCGGGCCCAGTTCAAGCCTAGGGAGAGTGTGAGGGCTCAGGACCCCCGCTAAGCGATGATTGCTGCGGTGTAGCCTCCGTGCCCGCCAGGTGAGGGAACTCTCTGGCAGAATGTACACTTCCCTACTTCACATATACCTATTATGGCCACAGGGTCCGAGCTGATGGACAGCTCACATGGACAGTCTGTGAGGACGGGGGAGGGTATGGTGTGTAAAGATGAGACAGCAGCTTCTTGGCACACACATCTGCCTCCTCTGCATCAGCTCGTGAACTGCGTATAGCGAGGAAAGAAGGAGGCGCACACGGTCCAGATCCCGGCAGCCTGGATGGGCAGAGCCAGGAGAGCCCAGTTGGGCTGGTGAGGAATCCGCACTCACTTCCTTCACTGTCCCGAGCTGTGGCCTGCACGAAGCTTCGGGTTAGAAGCAAAGGAAGGCCCACAGTGCCCGCGGGGGAGTCTGGAGGCTCTGCCTCCGGTGCTTGTCCGAGTGGACTTTGTAACCGAGGTTCACGTGGGGAGCACCACTCAAGCCTGAAACCCAGCTTAACTGTCGTGAGCCATGTCACCACAGGGCCGGCGCCCTTAGGAAGAAGTAGCCCAGCATGGCTGGCAGGGGTCCTGGGGGGAATTTAGTAATCCCACCTCTGTTGTCACCCCATTTGGGACTGTCACCTTCATGATTTCATGGCTGATGACATTTCTTAAGAGGAGATTCACTTTTTTAACCTCACCCCAATCAGGTCTACATTTTCTTCATGTGAAGAACAGGTTGGGGGGGGGGGGCGTTCCTGCACGTTCAAATTTAAGAAAGATAACAGGGGAAGCCCGGTGTCCCTGACAGGGGCCTGGTGTGTATCAAACACTCATTAAAAATCTTATTTGTCTTTTTCCAAACAGATCCCAAATCAGCAAAGTGGAACTCTTTAGATCATTTCAGAAACTGCTAAGCAGTATTTCAGAGGACAAGTGGCCAGACTCCCTCAGGTGACTCTGTTGACCCATTTTTTTTTTTCATATTTAGGACGACTTGTGGTTTAATTCTGGTTTACAAATGGCAGGAAGCTTTGGCAGGAGTGGTGGCTCAATGGGCCAGTGGGCACTTAGTTACCACCCGCATGTGCCTCTGTCCCCCGGGCTCCGATTGCAGGTGCAGATCTGAGGTGTACAGGAGGGGTGGTTTAGTGGTGCAGGGTTACAGAAGACTGGGGGGGAATTGGGGCTTGGTCTGCTCCAGGCCCCCCCTTTGCCCCCCTCCAGGTGGAAGGCAGAGCAGACATATAGGGCTGGCCCTATTGCTTAGAGGGCAATAGAGTCTATTAGGAACATCACTCTGCTCTTCCTCTGCTGCAGCCTTACAATTGAAATTGCTCCCAAACAGGAATGTAGAGAACTATAAAACCGCTCCAGGGGCCAGTGGGTGGGTAGTCCAGACACTTAGCTACTCAAGGTCAGTGCCCTCACTTCATACTCCAGATGCAAGCTCCAGGGCCCCCAAGCCCCTCACGCTTGGGACCACTGACTGCAAACTCAGGGGCTCCTGCTACCCCCTTAAATTCACTAATTCACTGGAACAACTCAAATTCAGGAGTGCACTATACCTACAATTACTTTTTATTCTAAAGAATATAGATCAGGACCAGCTAAAAAGGGACACACAGGGCACAGTCTGAGAGGGTACCAAACACAATTCGTCTGTGTCCTCAGGATGTGTTACCCTTCCAACACATCACTGTGTGTCACCAACCAGAAGGGGACCCAAGTTTTAGCGTCCAGTGTCTTCCCTGTGCTTGTGTTATATACACCTGAATGACTCATTGGCCACATGATGTGACTGAACTCATTCTTCATCTTCCCCTCCCATCAGGAGGTCAGACTGGTATCACAGACCAACTCCACTCTGTGGTTAGTCTCTCTGGCAGGGCCAGCCCCATCCAGATCTCTGTAGGGCCCACCAGGAGTCACCTCGTTAAATATAAACTCAGGTGTGATCAGAAGGGTCCACCATGAATAACAAAGACATTTCTTTTTTTTTTTTAATGTTTATTTATTTCTGAGACAGAGAGAGACAGAGTATGAGTGGGGGAGGGGCAGAGAGAGAGGGAGACACAGCATCCGAAGCAGGCTCCAGGCTCTGAGCTGTCAGCACAGACCCCGACGCGGGGCTCGAACTCACAAACCGTGAGATCATGACCTTAGCCGAAGTCGGTCGCTCAACCGACTGAGCCACCCAGGTGCCCCAACAAAGACATTTCTACCCCTTGGGAAATCCTGGGGGTTTGAAGGTTCCCTCCCAGGAACCGGCAACAAGACCGGCCAAATTCTTTATTGTACAGCAGAGGGGAAGCCAAGGTGTTGCTAGAAAAGTCTATTTGAAGAGGCTGACCACTTGTTATCACCGTCATGCGTACTGCTGTTGGTAGTGATGCCCTCCAGTCAGTTTGGTCAGGAGTCACTCTGCTTGTTTTTTTGTCTGGAAAAATGAATCAAACTGACCAGGAGGTTTCCATACATTTTATGTGTCGGTGAAAACAAATCTGGACTGAGGTCAGGAGAGACTTTACTCAAAAGGATCATTGCAGTAAGAGAGGGGCTGTTAACAGCAGCAGCAGGACTGATGCCATAACAAAGACACTCCAGTCCTAAGGTCTGTAAGCCTCCAGGGCCGGCGGGAAGGAGTAGCCCTTTGTGGGGAGCAGTGAACAAGGCCGGAAGGAACAGGGCAGGGGGCATGGAATGCGCAGTTGGTGTGATGGGGCGAGTAGACAGGAAACATCTTTTCTTGAGATCAGTCAGTTGTCAGGAGGAGCCGTTAAGAATGGGTCCCTGCAGGGCACCTGGGTGGCTCAGTCGGTTAAGCGTCCGACTTCGGCTCAGGTCAAGATCTCACGGTCCGTGAGTTCGAGCCCCGCGTCGGGCTCTGGGCTGACGGCTCAGAGCCCGGAGCCTGCTTCAGATTCTGTGTCTCCCTCTCTCTCTCTGACCCTCCCCCATTCATGCTCTGTCTCTCTCTGTCTCAAAAATAAATAAACATTAAAAAAAATTAAAAAAAAAAAAAAAAAAAGAATAGGTCCCTGCATATTGTGATGCTGGCTCAGGCTGAGGGTGGGTCATAGTTCAGGGTTGGGAGAAGGACAGAAGCATAACTAATGTTGGTCAAGGAAGCAAGAATTTTGTCGAGATTGGTATGTGGATGGAAACAGTTCAGCTAGTCATTATGAGACAGAGAATGGGAGTTTGAGGATCCGTCATAGGTAAGCCAAGGGGGGGCGTCCATGAGTCCTATCTGGGTCTTACGGGGAACGGGACTGTGCAGTAAGCCATTTCCCAGAACTCTTTAAACCAAAAAGTAGATAGTTATTCTTGTGTTATCTGATACCAGGAGGACCAGACAAGACTAGCATTGTTTAGTCTCACCTGGGTTTTTTTTAATGATTATTTATTTATTTTAAGAGAGTTCACACGCAAGCATGGCGGGGGAGGGAGGGCAGAGAGAATCCCAAGTAGCGTTCACGTGGTCAGTGCGGTCAGTGTATAGAGCCCAACATGGGGCTCGATCTCACAAACCATGGAATCAGGACCTGAGGCAAAAGAGTCGGACGCTTAACTGACTAAGCCACCCAGGTGCCCCCTTTTCTCCCCTGTTTCAATCCATGTTGCTTTCTAGTGAATTTCCTACATTGGAGAGAGAGTAGCTGGTGGAAAGCATACCAAAATCCTCCCGTTCCTAGATCTGTTCCTAGTCTCTGCTTAGACATCTGTCCAGCTGATTGCTCAGTTGGCCACCACGTTGAGCTGATCAGTGAGAACCTGTGTGCTTGGTGGTGTGTGTGCATTAGGGCGCAGAAGCTAGAGACGTACCACGAGTACAAGGAGGCTGCGTCTACTTACCAGGAAGCCTGGAGTGCGCTCCGAAAGCAGGCCTTTGGATCCTGGATCAGAAACCCACCGGATTATCACCAGTTTAAATAAGAAGGGCAAACTGCAAAGAGCTTATTAGTAGCAGAGTGTTTTTCAGCTGCTCACACTGGACGGCTTCTTCCTTTGTACTGGACAAGCCTTAGCTTTTCTTGTGGCTGAGTCAGGAAAAAAAAAAGTCTGTCATCTACCAGAGTGACCTATCTCTTCTGGGTAATATGGACAGAATCCTGAAACATGGAACTATCCATACTTGACTGACGTATCTCTCTCTGCTAAAACATCACCTCGCTGATGCCCTTGGCATCTGTCCTAACGTGTGTTATTGCTTCTCTAAAACATGGAGTAAGAACTTGGAATGTGACGCTTGAAAGGTACTCTGCAACAGCTCCGCTCTGTGTTCCCACATTGATCTGGCAAGTATTTCTTGGGCTGAGATGGTGTCCGGACCTCTGCAAGTTTTAGAGCTTCCCTTGGCATAGTGGACATGTGCCGTTTCTTCCCTCAGAGGGTCATCCTTTCCTGCTCTATCCATGGGACTTGGCTGAAGCAAACCTCACTCCCCAGCTCTCGGATTGTGAGGCAGCGCCATACAATCCTGGAACTACTGCCAGGGCGAGCAGGAAAGATGCTGTCTCCTCTCGGATCAGAAGCTCCAAGGACCACAGACTCGTGGGACTGTCTGTGGCTGCCTTTGCCTCCACACAGAGGCAGCCAGCTTGAGAATGAAGGCAAGAAAACAGGAAACAGACAAAAGCATCGGCTCCCGTGACCTTGTTTGGATGCCTGAAGCCAGTGCCCAGCCTGGACTTCAAGTATGTGAGATAAATTCATACGGCTGTTTGGGTTAAGCCTATCTGAGTAGGTTTTCTGTGGCTTTCAAATGAAAGAGTTCTAACAGGCCAAAAGTCCATATAGCAAGTCAGCAGCAGACCTAGCTACCCATCCTCTTTCAACCACCATCTAATATTTAACTCTCAACCTCTCTGCTCCTTAAATTATTGATGGAAAGGGAAGTTCTCCGTGTCAGGATTATCCAAAGCTCTTCTCAAAGTCCTTTAGTATCTTGGAATAGCTTTTTTTTCTTTTAAGATTTTATTCGTAAGTAGTCTCTACACCCAGTATGGGGCTTGAACTCATGACCCCAAGATCAAGAGTCACACACTCCACTGACTGAGCCAGCCAGGCGCCCTGTCATTCTTGTATGGCTTTAAATGTTTTTTAAGGGGCGCCTGGGTGGCACAGTCGGTTGAGCGTCCGACTTCAGCCAGGTCACGATCTCGCGGTTCGTGAGTTCGAGCCCCGCGTCAGGCTCTGGGCTCATGGCTCGGAGCCTGGAGCCTATTTCCGATTCTGTGTCTCCCTCTCTCTCTGCCCCTCCCCCGTTCATGCTCTGTCTCTCTCTGTTCCAAAAATAAATAAAAAACGTTGAAAAAAAAATGTTTTTTAATAACAGCTTTATTTATAATTTACATTCCATAAAATTTA